ACTAATATGAGTCTCATGTGTCCAGTTTAAGAGTATTACACAGAAGCACACCATAATAACATGAATCAAATATGTACTTTATTCATTTACATTAAATGTCATAATGTACATCATTCTGATTGGAGCTAAGGGCATACACTGTCTAACAATTCTGTGGTGATTGCACCAACCAAAGGGCATACACTGTCTAACAGTCGTGATAGGTGATCATTGAAGGGAGACCCTCTAGTGGGTAGAAACCAAGAGACGACAATTGTTTTGTGGAGATTTCAAGTCTGAAAGTATGTGTGGTGTGATTCGACTGGACGTGTGATGAATAGAAGTGATTTCTTCAAGTCTGAAAGTATATGTGGTGTGATTCAATTGAAGGAATGATCATATACATGATTTCCTACCCAATTTGATGATTGACTTTAAGTGAGTGACCATGAAGAGTGATTCATCTGGTGACTGAGTTGGTTCTTTCTTATTTTATAATATTATTCAAGACAGTTATTGAGTGCAGAACCTGTTAGACACCTGCTTATTTGATCCTTGTTGAATATGAATGACTCATCAATTGTGATGGTATCAAAGTCATGTGTGTTCATATGACATCCAATAAAGTTAAATGGAAGTGGTAATTATGCTGTATGGGCTAAATCAATAGAAATGCAGCTGGTTTACATGGTCAGGTATTCACTAAAGGTTCTACGTGTGAGATATGAAGGAAGTGATAATGAATTGGATGGAGAGATTAGAGAGAGACTCAGGCTCTTGGACGTAGTCTGGTTGGTCGTTTTTTTAACTCCGATCTAGATGTGGAGAAGATTGAAGATTGGGCTGCTGCTGAGTGGCGACCTGGGAAGCCTTTTCAGGTCAGACGTTTGAATGCTGGTTTCTTTTTGTTCACTTTCAAAAGTGAGGAGGCAAGCAATGTCCCATTGTCCTGAGAAGTGAACAGAATAAGATTCATTATCCTGACCTCAGAATGGGAAGGTGGATTCCTTAGTTGGAGCAATCAGGGATATGGGTCCTTTAAACATGGTGTGGCTTACTGTGTTCGGGATCCCTTTGCATGCGTCAAGTCTTCAAACCTTCAAGGCTGTGGGAGATGCTTGCAGAAGATTTAGATTTGTTGGTCCTATAACAATCTTGTGGAGGAATTTGATTGCTGCTTGTATTTTAATCGAAATTGATGAAATCCACCTTGTCTGGACGCCCCTGTCTCTTTGATTTGTTGGTGAAAGTTTCGACTTAGGCTGGTTATAGAAGGTTCATACCCAGTAAGATGGATCGTAAATATGAAGAGGTGGAATGAGGAAGCTAAGAAGGTTTGCTTGCATTCTGGTGGACTTGGAAGGAAGACAAACAGTCAGGTCGAAGGAGAAGGGTGAAAGGTTGATGACGAGGATATTTTTGGAAGTAAAAACTTCAATGGTTTGGTTGGGGATTTTTCCTTGGACCGCATTGAGATTAATGATCGGAGAGTCCCAAAAAGTGTTGAAAGTGGTGGGGCTCATGTGGATTCAAGCAATGAGGCATTTACCAAGATAAATGGGGCTGTTAAGGGTTGTCCTTTATTAGAAGGTGATGGTGATAGGGGGAAAGCTAGTCCTCTGGGACATGTGGAAGATGAAAAAAAGGTGGGTGTTGGGGTGGTTAAAGAAAAGGTGGGTTTTGGAACTTCAGAAGCCAAGGAGGTGTCTTGGATTGGAAGAAGTTATGGAGGGCCAAATGTGGTTTGTGACTCGAGAGTCAGGCTCCCTAACAGATACGAAGTGATATCCAAGAAGCACCGCTGCAGGTTAAGGGTTTTGGAAAGGAGAAAATTCAAGCAGAGTCAAAGATTCAGGCTTATGGTTCAATCTGAGGATACTGGTAAGTGGCTCTTGAGTCTAATTGTTGAGGCTGTTCGTGTGGATTTCAAGGAGGGAGTTCAATGTGGTAGCTATGAGAATAATTTTGATCCAAAGGAATTCCGTGGTGGAAGAAAGGAGACAAGACTTGGTCAGCAAACAGGTAAATTTATTTCCTGGGTGATTTCGTTGTTGAGCTATCTCCTAATTCATCCCCTACATGGAGATTGGATGTGGAGGATCAAAACACTGGCCTATCTCCTAATTCATCCCCTCCATGGAGATTGGATGTGGAGGATCGAAACACTGGCTCTTTAGAAGGCAAGAAGGAGGGAAGGTGGGCTTGGGGGAAGCATGGAGTCAGTAAGGTGGGAAGGAGAGGGCAAGGAAGGAATGTTAGGAAGGGATGATTGGGAAGGAGGCAAAGACAAGAGACCAAATGCTAGTTGCTGTGCTAAGGCTTCAGAAGAGACTTTGGACAAGGATGGGGAAACTGGTTGATCAGCAGAGTGCGAGGAATTCCAAAAGCTTGATGTTGCAGTTAGGAGGATTGGGGTCAATCTAGGTCAGAGAAGAAACATGAACACAGAAGGAGACGTTAAACCTCCAGAAGAGATGAAGAAAGTCAGAGAGACAAGTTTTATTTTGTCCACATGTTGAATGAAGAAGAAGTTTGTAAGCGAATGAGGAAAGGTCTGGGACGAGGATGACAACAGGTATGACAAGTCATTTGAAGCTGAAGACTAGATGCTTTTGCAGTGGGGGGGGGTATCTGTTTTCATTGTGTTTGATTGTGTCTTTGTTGTCCTTTCTGTAGCTGGTTTTGGGTGTTACCTTAGCTCCCATGTCTGGTTGCAATCAGTTATCTTTTTCTATCAATAAAATTTTATTGTTTACTCTTCAAAATTAAAAAAAAAAGAAAACTGAAGTGCATCACCTACTAGAACCAAGATATGGTGATCTTAAGTATGCTGAATGGATTTAAGAAGATGCTCAGATAAAAACCTGGTTGTGGAACTCTATGGAGCCTAAGATTAGTGCACCTTTGATCTTTCTTGATACCTCTAAACAAATCTGGGGTCAGTGCAAGAGGATGTACTCGGGTAGTAACAATACTATCTGAATTTATCAACTATTCCAAACATTCTTTTGCTTACAGCAGGGAGATAAATTATTGGAAGATTATTATTCAAATATGGTGTGTAAGGCCATGGACTGTGGTTTCACTCTGAAGGCCTGAAGAGGGTGGTCTGAACTGGGGGGAGGAGAAAGAAGAGGGAAGAAGATCTGGCCAGACCCCAAGAGGGGTTGCCTACATGCCTAGATTGTCTTTGAAATGATGTTTGTGGTTTGCTTTCTAGCATTTTTGTTAATTAAGTAACCATTAGCCTCCAAAATTCTGAGGAATTTTACAAGTGATTAGCCCCCAAAATTTTGAGGAATTTTACAAGTACGTGGTCTCCAAATTTTACAAGTGATCAGCCTCAATTTTCCTTTTTTGAAAAAATTAAGCAAAACAATCCCCAATTTTTTTTTTGAAAATTATAAGTAAATCAACCCCAAATTTTCTCAAAATTTGTGAGAAATTAGCCACGGTTGCTTGGAAGGGGTCAACCCCTAGTGTTGGTAGGGTAACATTGAGTAGTGTAGGGTTAAATGTTTTGTATAGTAAGCCTGCAAAATAGCATAACATGATCAATAGTGGGTTTGAACTCATAATAGTACAACACTAGGCCATGGGAGGTTTGAACGTGGGAGGTCAGTTGAGTAAAGCTGTAAAGGTGTAATTTCCTTGGGCAAGGCCATGGAAAGCCAGTCGAGTAAAGCTGCGGAGGGGTAATGTCCTCGGGCAAGGCCGTGAGAGGCTAGTCGAATAAAGTTGTGAAGGGGGCTCCGCCCTTGGACCCTTGACCACGCCCCTCGAGATAAGCCCCAACAAGTCTATATTAGGGTCTGAAATTCTTATTTCTCACATAAAACCTGGGAGAGCTCCGAGAACCCCTTATTTGCTAATGTTGTTTATTCATTCATTGTAATAAAATATCTTCTTAAAAGGCAATAAAAGTTATAAAATCATTTTTTTTATGTGAGAAATAAGAATTTCAGACCCTAACGTAGACTTGTTTGGGCTTGCCTCGAGGAGCGTGGTACAAAGGTGACTCATAGAATCAAGAATGCAATATGTTTTACATCACATTAGCTACTTGAAGTAATGCAATTAAGGAGAAAAAGAAATTGTGGGTTTTACATGCTTGAAAATGCTTTATATGTTTGCTTTTATTTTTAAATTTTCATTTGAATACGCTTTACATGTTATGTTTATGTATTTTAATTTTAGATAATAGGTTTTTTAAAACGTTTATTTTAAAATTTAAGTTTATATTTTTATTAATATTATGTTTAATATTTTTTGAATTTTTTTCATTTTTTTAAAATTTTTGGCATTTTTTGAATTTTCTGACTTTTTTTTGTAATTTTGTGCCTTGCTTAAAAAGGCCCGTGCCTTGCCTTGCACCTTGTGCCTCAGGCGCAAATTGGCCCTTGCACTTTTTTTGCGCCTTGCGCTTTTAAAACGCTTAGGGGGGCTGCTGGAATTATTTGCAACAGCTTCTTAAGCTTTCTGATAAACTTGTGTAAAATCGAAGAGGAAAAAACTCTCCCAAGTTTGGACTAAATTGACAATCTCCCTTGTTAGTTTAATTGATGAAAATCTTAGTCTCTAAGACTGCTTTCAAATCTTTTATAGACTTTGGTCTTTCTAAAGTTCTATTATGAGTTAAGTAGGAAGATTCCAACTAAGTTGGAAAACTAATTAAAAGATCACACTAAATTAAGAGTGCAACTTACCGCTGAACTCACGTTGTCCAACAAGTGAACTCGCCCAAGTGGTGTTGGGCCTAGAATTCAGCTTAGTTAATGTCATACAGTAACACTTGTGTCTTAGCCACCCTATGAGCCCAAGAATATTAATTTGGAAACATCATGTTTTTGGTCCTAATTAGACACTTGCAAACAATCTCTTAGCTAGTAATATGAAAAACACTACTGATAGGGGAGGGCCTATTCCCCAATTACACAAGGCAGTGCCACACTCTTCGCTCAAATGGATCCCAAGATTAAAACCATTCGCAACCCTTTTATCGAAATAAATTATTTGTTAATATAAACACACTTTGCAAATCTGATTTCAAATACAAGTTGGCATCCACTACCAATGGTTTTAGGTTTCCATCAAAGAGAGTGTAAACCATGATACTCTCCTTGTCCAACAAAGTGGCTGATCCTATCACAATGATCACACACTCAAGTACTATTCCAATCTACTCCAACATACCCATGTATTTGACCATAGAAAGATCTCATTGATTGGCATGTCCAAAGCAGACTAGTTCGATACTTTAGTGCAATATCATTATCAAGTCAAGAGACCATAAGCAACTTTCCAGATTAATCCAACAGTCACCAAGGTCTAGGATTAAATTGGAGATGGTCCCATTCAGTGTTTACCAAACACCCATTCCTTGTACCTTAGGTCCAACTTGAGCACTTGAGACAGATTGCTCCACCAGTTCGACAGTACAAGAATGTCAACCTTCGCATTACGAACTCATGTTTGTTCATTGGTTGAGAACATTTAAGCTCACATAAGCCTCATAAATGTGCATCTAAGGGGTATTGCACAGAAACATACCAATTGACACATGAAATAATAAATGTCAGTGTACAACATCCTATTGAAGTTGAGGGCATACGTTGTCTAACATTCCATTCCTTAGAAGGTCCTTTTCTATTGGTTATTTGTGTTTTTATTTTGTTACACTGTTATTGCTAAAATACATCCAAGACTCCAAGCCTCCATTCTGAATCATACTTGTTACTTCATGCCTTGTGATTCTATAATTTAAAGACAGTTATTGGGAAGATCAAGGGGCTGATGTTTTCTAGTTTTCTTTCCTGAAAGAATTAGGGTGTTTTAATTTTATTTTTTTTAATTCATTAATTCAATAGGAGCCAATTTCTAGTTTTTTGCATATGTTCTCTAAAGGGGTTTTCTATTAGGTGAAGGCTATCGTATTTGGAGTTGGTCCCCTGGTCTTACTTTATCATGAAAGAACACCTTTCTAGCTGAGTTCAAGTTGGAGAACTATGAATTCTTAACACCTTAATGGAATGTTTATTTGCAGGTGGTCATTTATTCACTTGTTTTTTTTCTCTTTTGATTAGTATCAAAAGATGTAGAGAAGACATTACAAGGAGAACAGCCATTGCTGACTAAACAGAATACAAATCAGGGGAAAGGCTTGGCTGTTTGGAAAAAAACAGCCTGGGATGGTTTGAAGGTTCATATGCATGGGTGTGGGGTAAAAGAGTAATTGCAATTGTTGATAGAAAAAGAGTAATTGCAATCAATATTCATTAAAATAATAAAGAAAGAAGAACTAAGTGGGTTAAGATGTCAGTGCAAGAAGCTTCAAAGCTGTTTTCTCCAAACAGCCAAGCTTTTCTCACAAATCAGAACCCCCATAAAAGTCTATCCTTGTTATAACCCCCATTCTTGCAAGTCCATCAGCTAATTCATTTGTTGCTCCGGGCATCCATCTGAACAAGCAGTTTAAGTTAGAAGCCAGAATTCGATCTGAACAAGGCTATTTGTTTTTTTAGTTGATATTTCTTCACCTATTTCATCCTGCTCCTTATTTTTCCTTAATATTCTTTTTATGTATAATAAACAGATTGTTGTGATGGGAGTGATGAATATGATGGTAAAGCGAAGTGTCCGAACACATGTTGGGAAGCTGGTAAAGTGGCTCGAGATAAACTGAACAAAAAGATTGCAACATATAAGGAGGGGGTCATTATAAGGAAGCAGGAAGTAGAACAAGCAAAACAAGCAATAGCCAAAGATGAAGCAGAATTATCGAAGCTGAAAAATGAGGAGAAGATACTTAAGGATCTTGTTCAGCAGCTAAAAGGTATAGATTTGGCACATCACTCTTCTTTTTTAAATTGTAACATTGCATTTGTTTGGGGCCATTGCTTGGTGCAATGGTAAAAATCCTGGGCTGATAAGTGTGAGATGTGGAATCAAGTCTAAGAGCAGCTGCTTTTTTTTTGTAATGATTTAAAGTATAATACAACATAAATGTAGGACATTTTACTTGCATATATAAAAAAGGAAAGGGTATAATATAAACATTTTAATCATATGAATATATCAAAAAAGTATACTTGAATGGAAAACATCACACTTGTTTTTGGTGAATGTCCTTTGACTGGGAACTCTGAAGAATGTCTCACTCACCGATTTTTTTTTTTTTTTTGATTAGTAAATAGCAAGAATTTTATTGAAAGAAAAGAAGTTACAAAAAGAGGGTGATAGACAGCACCTGAGAACAAAGAAAAGAAAAGAAAAGAAAACAAAAGAGCCATCTACCAAACTAGGTAACAGGCTCTGCATTACATATTTGATATCCCAGGACCTCTCCTAACCCACTCCCAAAATCCTCCTTTTTTAGTTGACTGAATTCATGAAGAATCAACACCCATTCTACCACTGATCTGCCCATAGCCGCAACCATCTTCTCCATGCTACAAGCCTTGTCTTCGAAAGTCCTCCTGTTTCTTTCCTTCCATATGTTCCAGCATATTGCAAATGGGATACAACTCCATAAAACCCTCACCTTCTTGCTCCCAGATAGCCTGGGCCATGTAGAAAAAATCTCTGCTGTTGAGGTTGGATGAAATCCAGAGACCCTGAACATGGAAGTAAACACTTTCCACAGGAATCTTGAAAAATTGCATGAGATGAATAGGTGAAACGTGTTCTCCTCCTGAAATTATGCTTTATGGGGTGCCTTTCTATCATACACAGTGAGATGATAGATGCATTTAAATACTTTGTGATAAGTGGGGCTAAACCATAAGGTTAAACAAGTGGTACTTAGGCTGTCAATTGTGAGAGTGCAGGTGCTACCCGACCAAAAGTTTAAAATGTCAACATTAGTTATCCAAATATTGGAAACATGTGGGAAGTGTCATGGAAATATTGTAAAAATAAGACCTGGTGGAAACATTGTGAAATATGCAGAGATATATAATGGTATTTTATGAAATGGTAACCTACATACATTTCTTTAGATTATTTTGTTCCAAACCATCAAAGCCTAGAAACTAGGGTTAATAGACAAAATAATACCCTGCAAAGTTGTCGTGTAGACTTTAAGAGTTAAAACTACATAATATAGTAAGTTCAAGAAAAATTTAAATTCACATAAAGTGCAAATTATTCTACATTACTGCCACTACACATATTTACAATACTGTTGCCAACTCATCATGTTACTGTATCATTTCATGCACTCAGCATAGTGCTGGTTTTTCACTGTAATATTTCATGTTAGTACCTATAGAAATGGAAATATGTCATGGAAATATATTTTTTTTGATTACAACTACTTCATTAATAATAAAAAAATTGTGAAACCTCAGATACAAAAGGGGAGATAAAATGTCTTAGCTCCCCATTAACAGAATACAATGAAAGAAAATTAAAAATTAGCCCAAAAGATCGACTCCCTATTCACCCCTTGCTTGGCCAACCCATCCGCAAATGAGTTGGCATTCCTCTTCACCCAGCTGTATTGTATCTCAATGTCCTTACACAGCCAATAAGAACTTTTTCTTTTCATTGTTGTAGCTCCACAATTCACTGTCCTCTTTCTTCAACCAACTAACCACCACCTTTGAATCACCTTCCAGGATCAACCAGCTGATATTTAATTCCTTTGCTCTTCGAATTCCTTCCAGCGCTGCAAGGATATCAGCCCTAAGAGAGTCACCTTCTCCAATAGGGCCTGAGAACAAAGCAATAACAATCCCTTCCTCATTCCTGAAAACTCCTCCAATCCCAGAGGGCCCTGGATTCCTTACACTACTGCCATCAAAATTCAATTTTATAAATCTAGAGGGAGGAGGGGACCAAGAGGGACTAAGAGTCCTCTTGCACCGAGCAGTGGTAGCTACCTCTTTCCAATTTCTTAACAAGTCAGCCACAGGAAAGTCTGAAAACAATTCCATAGATTTTAGCCAATGGGCAGCCTTTAGTAGTATTAGGTCTAACAGTTCTTCCAAGGTTCTTTCCTTGTCTAAAAAAATATGTGAATTTCTTTCTTCCCACAGTGACTAGCACACGGCTGCCCTAATACTCCTCCACATAACCTTCCCTCACTTATTAGGCCATCTGAAAAATGAAGGAGAGAACAAACTTTGGACACTCTCGGGAGGATTCCAAGAACACCCAAAGCTGGAAAAAACCCACTCCCATACAGTTTTAGTAACCTTACAAGAGACCATGAGGTGGTAACCGGATTCCCCATCAGCTTTACAAAGAGAACATTTATTAGGAAGTAGACAATAGTTGGGTCTCTTTCTCTAAAGTAAGTCAATTTGTTTATTCTTTCCAGGAAAATTTCCCAACAAAAAAAACCAACCCGAGGAGGAATAAGCTTACTCCAAATTTCATTAATTGGAAAGGACAACCCAATAGGGATAGAAGGCTGAGTTAAGGTTTCAAAGAACGAAGTACAAGAGAAAGTACCAGAGGTGGAAGGGGTCCAAATTCTGGTGTCTTCCTTATCAGGATCTAGGAAAGCATTCTCAAGGGTGGCTAGCAAAAGTAAAATGCTGTCCATGTCTATATCCCTAATTGCCCTACGCAGGCCCAGGTTCCACCCAAAACTAGAAATGGAGTTTGAAGGACTCAAGAAAGAAGAGATAGGTTCATTTTTCAAGTCTGACAGAGCGTACAGGGAGGAAAACTGGTCCTTTAGAGGTGAATCCCCAACCCAAAGTTGTTTCCAGAACTTTATTCGGTTACCAGAGTTTAGACCATACCTGATCCAAGGGGAAAAACTAGAAAGAGTGCTCAACATGCAGACCTAGTCTACACTAACTTGTCCCTTTCCCTGTCCCTATTGGGCTCGAGCAATAGCTGCTTTAGGCGCTCGACCGGTGGATCGAATTGATGAACCCGCTGAACCGAACATGGGGGAGACGAGACCGGACCGGCGCAGCAGTTCTTCCATACCAACTTAGCTGCCCGGCGCTGCTATTGGCATAACAACCGGCACGCTTTAGGCTAGTTCAGGAATTAAAGGCACCTAGCTATGAAAATCCAGAATGTAAATAAATGTCAGGTCTCAAACGGGTAAAAAAACTCTTTGCCTGYCCTCTGAAGAGTGACGAGCCCTACTTGAGTGCTAGTGCGGCGCGGTAGCACAGCCGTTTTCTTGCTGCTAGCGCGCGCAGTAGTTTTTTATCATGCTGCTACTAGCACGCAGATGCAAGAAGTAGAATCAAGAATCAAGATCTTGATCTTGAATCATATTACTCGCGAGTCTTTCTTGTTTGTACCGATTCTTTAAGGATCTTGGGATAAAGATTAACACYTGACTCATTGTACTCATGACCCGACTTAGAATTTGATAAATAGCACTACACTATAAGACGACTTACATGAGTAGAGAGTTGACAAAGTGGCCTGGACAAGTGGGCACGAGTACTAAGAAGATCAATAGGACTAAGGCCTCAATATTGAACCATTGGGTAGACAACTTGCTACCTAGCCCTTCACTTGCTTTGTAGCTTGCTGCCTACGTTTGCTGCTTTCGAGCCTCCRTTTGCACCGTTTGCTGGGTAGGGGAGACAGGGTTACGCGCTGGGTAGCGCAGCGCATCTGTTTCGGGTACAGAGACGACGAGGCGGCCACCCAACCCARCAGGGCAGGGGCGGGCGGGCCGGCCATAGGTTTGAATCCTGCCACCTTGATTGTGGATCATCCTGTGGTTACCGGATGATGGGAAAGCAGATAGGGTGGGGCTGCAGAACTCACGGATCTTGTGTGTATGCTCTACATGACAGGGGAATGGTTTAAAGTACCAATAGGTGGTTTGGTACTCAACATCCTCGGTGGGATCCTTACAATGTGGAAGAATGAGGAAGTTGACTGTCAGGAGGAATTGATAGGGCAATACTCAGTATCAATAAAAGCCAAGGGGATGAGTGATGGAAGGGAGTGGGTGTTGACTAATGTGTATGGGCCGAATTCATATAGAGAGGAACAAATTCTGGGAAGAGCTAGCTGCAATCAGAAGCATTTGGGAGGGCCTGTGGTGTATGGTGGGGATTTCAATGTAATAAGATATACAAATGAGACAGACAACCCCAACCAGCCTTTAACAACTAGTATGAGAAACTTCAATTCCTTGATTGAGTCCCTAGAACTAAAAGAACCTACCTTGTTATAAGCCTCTTTCACATGGTCAAATCTCCAAGAAAACCAAGTTTGCTCAAATCTGGACAGATTCCTTTTTTCCATTGATTGGGAAGAGTTGTGGGGAACATTGACTCTGAAAGCCCTACCTAGAGCGACATCTGATCATTGCCCTTTAAGCCTCTACCAAGAAGATCTTATTGGAGGCCCCACACCTTTTAGATTTGAAAACATGTGGCTAGAAGTTCCAAATTTTTTGCAAAAGGTAAAAGAATGGTGGTCAAAAGGTGGGATAAGGGCTAGAAATAAAGTGGTGAGGTTTTCCAAGAAACTGAAAAGATTGAAGGAAAAGGTCAATGAGTGGAACAAAGAGGAATTTGGAAAACTTGAGGTCATAAAGGAGGATTTAGCTAGGAAGATAGAGGAAGTGGACCAAAAGGAGGCCCAGAAAGAGTGTGGGTTGGAGGATAGAGTAGAAAGAAGGAACTTAAAAGTGCAATTGGAAGAGATCCTAAGAAAAGAAGAGATTTCTTGGAGGCAAAAATCTAGATGTAAATGGCTTTTGGAGGGGGATGGAAATACCTGATTTTTCCACTCCCTAGCAAATGGGAGAAGACGGAAAAATCAAATTTCTAGTATAGAGGTGGAGAGAAGAATAATAATTGCAAAAGAGGAAATTGAAAGATGCTTTATGGATCATTTTAACTCAATCCTAGCATCCTCTGATGAAAACATTGCAGAAGTGGGAGATTTATAGTGGGACAGAGTGCCAGAATCTGAAGTTGTCCTACTAGAAAGAGCCTTCACTATTGAGGAGATACATGAAGCAATATTCTCGATGGATAGATCTAAAGCTCCGGGGCTAGATGGATTTTCAATGGCTTTCTATCAAGATTGTTGGGAAATTTTGAAAGATATTAATGGATGTATTTGTGGAGTTCTTTTAAGAAGGAAAATTGTCACCTGGAGCAAATGCAACTTTTATTGCTTTAGTGCCAAAAAAGGAGGCCAAAACCCCTAAGGATTACAGACTGATAAGTCTAGTGGGTAGCTTATATAAAATCATTGCTAAAGTCCTGGCTAGGTTGAAGACTGTATTGCCCTATGTTATCTCTCAAAACCAAGGAGCTTTTGTAGAAGGGAGACAAATTGTGGGTCAAATCTTAGTGGCAAATGAGTGTGTGGCAGCTAAGAGAAAACAAGGTGGCAAAGGTTTGATTTGTAAATTGGACCTAGAAAAAGCTTATAATATGGTGGATTGGTCCTTCTTGTTGAATTTAATGGAAAAGATGGGGCTAGGTGAAAGATGGCGGATGTGGATTGAAGAATGTATTAGCTCAGCACGCTTCTCTATTTTGATGAATGGGGTAGCAAAGGACTTCTTCCAGGTTAAAAGAGGACTAAGACAGGGTGATTCCTTATCCCCATTCTTATTCACCTTTGTAGCTGAGGTTTTGAGTAGACAAATCATCAAGGCTGATCAAGAAAACTAGTTCAAAGGTTGGAGAATGGGTAGATCAGAAGCGGTGGTGTCTCATTTGCAATCTGCTGATGACAATCATTTTCTGTGAAAGTTGTGATGAATCCAGTCTAAGGAATCTTAAAAGATTGGTGGATGAATTTCAACAGGCCTCCAAACTAAAAGTCAATTGGGGAAAAAGTTGTATAGCTGGAATCAACATTGAAGGGGGGGACATCCAAGCCATGGCAAATCTGCTAGGTTGTGAAGTGAAAAATTGGCCTATGGAGTACTTAGGTATGCCCTTGGGTGGGAATCCGAAAGCCGAAAGTTTTTGGAAACCGGTGGTAGAGAGGTTCATAAAGAAGTTGACAATGTGGAAGAGAAATTATATATCCTTGGGGGGAAGAATTACCTTGATAAAATCAACCCTAACAAACCTACCCACTTATTTCCTTTCCACATTTAAGATCCCAGTGAAAGTAGCTAGGAAGTTGGAGAAGATTATGAGGGACTTTTTGTGGGAACCAGGTGAAGAAAAGAAAGATCATTTAGTGAAGTGGGAGCAAGTCTATAACTCTAAGGAGCAGGGTGGATTAGGTATAGGGAACCTATTGAAGAAAAACAAGGCCCTTTTAGGGAAATGGCTGTGGAGATTCCCTTGTGAAGAAGAAAGATTGTGGCATAGGGTCAATAAAAGCTTACATGGTGAAGCAGACAACGGCTGGGATGCAAAACTAGCCCCCAATGCAGCTCCATCTTCTCCCTGGAAGGCAATCTTTGAGGTATATCCAACTTTTCTTCAATTTATCAGGTTTGATGTTGGTTGTGGTAACAAAGTTTTATTCTGGGAAGACCTTTGGGTTGGGGAAGTGCTTCTTATGATCAAATTCCCAGACCTCTACTCCTTATCAAACCATAAAAATAAACCTGTTGCTAGGTTTGGTGTGCTTTCAGATTCAGGGATCTCTTGGGATTTTTGTTTCAGAAGAGGGTTGAGGGAAAATGAGTGTGAGTCTCTAGTGCTTTTGATTTCAATACTTGAGAAGGTCTACTTGGACCAATCTATAGCTGATTGTAGAGTTTGGTCCCCAACTTCTGATGGTTTATTTTCCTGTGCATCTTTCTTTGGTTTGCTCACTCACATTGATCCTATGGGGGTGAACTTCCCAGTGAGAGAAATCTGGTCTAAA